CTCCTCTCTCCTGACTCTCTTGAGTGCTCTTCTCCCTCTTGACACACTCAGCTACCATAGCTATCTCCTAATACATAATTCTTACTCATTTTTCAGGTAAGCTTAGTTACCACTTCCTTGGGGGAAGTCTAAGACCTCCCCTATTCTGTGTGGGTGTCTCTTTTCCTTCCCCTCAGCATCTCCTAGCTGTCTGATGTCAGCACTTTCACAGAGTTGCACGTGCTGTACACCCTGGAGATAACTCAATGTATAGTAGTTTCTGGACAAACATTGAATTAGTACAGGTATCTGAAACGATGCATGTTTGAAGGTGTTATTTGTAGCTTCTAGCAACAAAATGTCACCTCAGCCTTATAAACTTACCTCCATAACAGTATACTTGTGTAAGTATAGACTGTTGTCCAGTTAAACATGAGTAATCTGGGTTCAGCAAACTCTACACAGCACATAGGCTGATCCTCCTCAGCTCCACAATACTGTAAGATTAGCCAAATAAATTTTTATGTTTTACAGGTACGAGAACTGATTCAAAATATCACTTGTCAGATTAATGTGATAATTTTCCACCTACATTATTTTCTGATTTTATTCCCTAGCTGTCACTTGTTTAACTTATAATGTCCTGCTCCTCCTAGATAGGTTGGATAAGCCAGGAGGTAAATCTCAGAGGGGATATAAGTTGAATTCCCCTCATTAGAAATTTACATGTTGATAGTGATACTGTCTTCATCTTATACTTTTATGCTTTTTGCAGTTGAGTAATTGCTTGTGGGTATAAGGGAATGTAAGTCTCACCTATTTTTCCCCTTGTATCTAGATAATAAGAGGTCATCCACTAACACTAGTCAAAACTTTTGGCAACAAGGCAATGCAAACAAATGCAAAGGCAGTGATAGATAATTTTGTTAAAAAACAAGAAGATGACAATTCAGAATGTGGAGTTGGTGAGTAATTTGCCCACTACAGCCCTTGAGTTTTTTTTTTCCTCTGCATGTGGTCAGCCAGTTTTCCCACCACCATTTACTGAAGATTTTAAAAATTTCATTCCATGTTTTAAGCCATTATACCTGATTTCCTTTTCTGATACAAAGCATTTCATTGCCAGCAATCTTGTCTGAAATATTCTTTGCTATTAATGCCCATAATATTTGTTTTTCCTTAAGTTAAAACTGCTTAATCTCTGTGATTAAGCCTAGCTATCTTACTTTTTAGCCAAAAGTAGTAAGTAAAAATGACAGCATTTTAATATACCTAACTTTATTAATAAAGGTAGAGTAAGGAGAGGTCCTGGGCTTCTGAGTATAGACTTTCGCCAGATCCACGCCTGATGTTGAAAACTGCTTAAATATTTAATTCAGTAATTTTTAAATCTCAGATGTGGTTGGCATAGAGACAAAACCACTGAACATATCTACACAACTTGGTAGTAGAACAGAGACTTAGGTTCAGAAGACAGTATTGCCTCTTAATGTTTTCTGGGAGAAAACTTGACTTGGGCCCATTACATAATTTGTTAGCCTGGGATCATATCTGCCTCCCAGCAGCACTGTAAAGACTAAGCAATGTGTGTGACAGTATTTTAGCATCACACTCGACTCTGCTACTTTCCTTCCCTTCTCCAATAAATCAGACTTCTCATAAGTTGTTAAATGATGACAAAAACACTGACTAGATTGTCATGGTAATGTACTGTGAAAACTTCAGATGTTATATTTCAAGCATTATTGTCTGGTTATTAAAAAACAGAAAAAACTAACCTGATAAAAAATACTTTTGACATTTGTTGAGTTCCAGCCGTCTGTTAGAAAAGGTCAAAGCGCTGATGACATCATTGTTGCAGGAGATCGGACATTGATAGATTGGGATCAAATTAGAGAGGAAGGTTCAAAATGGCCAAAGAAAAAATGGGTAGGTCAGTGTTGCATTGAAACATGTATTGTTTCTTTTAACTACAGTTTTTATCATCTGTAACATGTCTATGCCTTATTTTGTAATGAAATCTCTATGAAAAATGATAAAATTTAAAATGCTCCAGTTAATCCCTATGTCATGACTGATTCTATGTCGTCTGCTATGATTTATGCCATTAGTGTGATATTAAATGTTAAACTGATTTATAGCCTGTCTTATTTGAGGTGACTCACTGCAAAAGATTAATAAGATAGAAAATTAAGTCCACGGGGATAGTGTGAAGGGAATATACATGCAAACCATCAGTAAACATTGTTGCTGTGGAACAGAAACTGATCATCTAGTGTGATAATTGACAAGGGCAAAATAACAAAGGAAAACCTTTCCATTATAAGAAGCATAACAATTCTTAAGAGAGTTGGAGAGTTTTTTAGTTGGGGTCTCACTCTTTTGTCCAAGCTGGAAGGCTGGGCATGCTCACAGCCAATCCTTCTGCCTCAGCCTCCCAAGTAGCAGGGACCACAGACATGTGCCACCAGGCCTGGCAAATTTTTGGATTTGTGTGTGTGTGTTTTTTAGAGACAAGGTCTTGCTGTGTTTCCCAGGCTGGTTGCAAACTCCTGGGTTGATGCAATCCTCCCGCTTTGTTTTTCCAAAGTGCTGGGATTTACAGGCATGAGCCACCGTGCCCAGCGGTCTTTGAATTTTAGAAGTTTCTTACTTGGAACATTACGTATGTTGTGTCATCTTTCAGGCTATTCAGGCACTAATCATGGCTATCAGAACAAGGCAGCAATATAGCATCTTTTATTTGACAATGAAAAGCTAACACACTAATAATATGTTGCCAGAATATTTAGTGATTAATGCCATGGTGGTCTGCACCTCTGCATGTTAAGTTTCCAGTGCTGCCTTGACAATTTGCCTTGCTTGGGAGACTGAGGATGGGAGACCAGGGAAAGGATTTAAGATGAGTTAGGCATTTAAGAAATGAAGCTTCAGAGTGTAGGCCAAGGATGTCAATTTAATTTCTAAAAAGAAATGGGATAGACCTTCAAAGAGAAGACAAAATCAGTCTAAGCACTATGTTTGAGAGTAGACTCATCAGTGTGGTGCTTTTATGTTTTGCAAAGCATGCTTTTGTTTTAAACTTGAACACTACAGATCCATTCTGTAATGGGTGGAAAATGTGATTGAAAGACAAACCAGAAAAAGGAGATCTCTTAGAAGGGCAGAAGCCCAGCTGATGACAGGTAATGCTGTCTGAAACCGTGTGGTAACTAGGATGTATTTCAATCTATAGCTGTGACTAAGTGTTAATGAAATGTAAATTTTCATTATCAAAGTGTGAATTTTTCCTTTTGCCCCAGATTTACCACCAATGAAGATATGCGTCTGTATTTGTGTCTAATGGAGTAGCTGTTGAGCACTGAAAGTTTAGCTAGTGTAACTGAGCAAGTGAACACTTAATTAAATTCCAATAGCCACATGTACCTGGTCCTTGCTGTGGGGAGCAGAGCAGCTTCTCTGTTTCTCCAGTACTTAAGAATTGAGAATGAAATGATGGGATCTACATCTGACAACGTTCTTAAACTCTTCAGTCCTTGTCATCTGAAATGGGAAGGTTTATTTTTTATTTATTTTATTTTATTTATTTATTTTTGAGTTGGAGTCTCACTCTGTCGCCCAGACTGGAGTGCAGTGGCATGCTCCCGGCCACTGCAGCCTCGGCCTGCCGGGCTCTGGAGATCCTTCCACCTCAGCCTTCCAAGTAGCTGGAACTAGAGGCATGCACTGCCATGCCGGGCTAATTTTTTTCATTTATTGTAGAGACAAGGTCTCGCCAGTTTGTACAGGTGGGTCTCGAACCCGTGGGCTCAGGCGATCCACTCGCCTCGGCCTCCCAAAGTGCTAGGATTACAAGCTGAGCCACCGAGCCCAACCTTATTTTTTATTTTAGAGTTGTGGGGTACATGTGAGGATTTGTTACATAAGCAAGTTATGTGCAGGTGAAGGTTAAGCAAGTCCTTTCTCCACCCTGGTAGTAAACATGTTAACCAGTGTACGGTTATGAGTCCCTTGTCACCGCACTCCAGTCTTTAGCAGTGTCCAGGTCTGCTGTTCCCACCTTTGCACTCCTGTGACCAGTGAGCAGGACTTGCTTATGAGTGAGAATGCGCAGTATTCAGTTTTTTTGTTTAGTTCACTTAGAATGACAGTTTCCACTACATCCATGTTGCTGCATAGGACATAATTTTGTTCTTCCTTATGGCTGTGTAGCATTCCATGTGTACATTCCACATTTTCTTTATCCAGTCCACTTCCAGTGGGCATCTAGGATGGTTCCATGTTTTTGCTATTGTGAATAGTGCTGCAATGAACAGACACATGCAGGTGTCTTTTTGGCAGAGTGACTTATGTTCCTCTGGGTATACTCCCAGAAGTAGGATTTCTGGATCATATGGAAGCTCAATTTTTAGTTATTTGAGAAAACACCACACTGCTGAAACTGGAAGGTTTTAATGGCAACTACTTTTTTACTATTAATTCTGATATAAAAACTAAGATGTAGCTGGGTGCGGTGGCTCACGCCTATAATCCCAGCACTTTGGGAGGCTGAGGTGAGAGAATTGCCTGAGCCCACAGGCTTGAGAACAGCCTGGGCAACCTAGTGAGACCTCATCTCCACAGTAAATCAAAAAATTAGCCAGGCGTGGTCACACACCTGGACTCCAGCTACTTGGAAGGCTGAGGCAGAAGGATCGCCTGTGGGTCAAGGCTGTGGTGGCTGTGAGCATACCCCTGCACTCCAGCCTGGGTGACAGAGTGAGACTCCAACTCAAACAAATAAATAAATAAATGAAAACTAAGATGCTATAAAATAAAATACCAGAAAGAGGGTTAAGGTAAGGCTCGGTCCTTGGGCAGGTGACTGATTGTATAATCTAGGACATTTCATTTAACTTCCCTAGCTGTCCAATTTAATATATGAATTTCTAGGTCTGAGCAGAGCCAATTTTGAAGAAGTTTTTTCTTGGGTAAAGTAAAGTAACCACGGTCACTAATATTTACTTTATTTTTCTTTAAAGGAAGGAACATTTTAATATAATGTGTGATGACTTGAAAGAGGGTGAGAAGCATCCTATCCACAACCCTACCTGCACGTTTGGTGATGCCTTTCAGTGTTATCCTGAGGTTTTGGAAAACATTAAAAAGGCAGGTTTTCAAAAGCCAACACCCATTCAGGTATGCTTTCCATAATTCCAATATTTCACCGAGTGTCCTCCCCACCAATGAGACCTTATTGCTGGAAGTTAGGTCACCAGGAAGCAACTGTCTTGGCATTCCTGCAACTCCCCCAGCTAGCACTCACACGATCCTGGTGGAGAGAAGTCTGGAGGTGGGAGAAGAGGAAGAGTTGGCCAAAGAGATGGACTTTTTGTTTCAGTGTTTGTTGTTCTATTTCAGGCGCAGGCATGGCCAATAGTACTGCAAGGAGTAGATCTTGTAGGAATGGTCCAGACCAGCACAGGGAAAACGTTGTGCTATTTAATGCCTGGATTTATTCACCTGAACTTTCAGCCAATGTAAGAATTCCTACACTTGGGCTCTCTATAGGGATCTAGTAGACATAGACACCAAAACGTATTAAGTTTCTTTCATCTACTGCATTGGTTAAAAGGTAATGCCTAGCATGGCAGGACACTGATCTAGTGCAGGTGAAAGCATAAATTGGCAAAGCATTTTTAGAAGACAATAGGTAATAGTTGCCAGAACCTTAACAGTGAAACATTGGAAACCAATGACATTATCTTGTCCAATGCAGTTCTCTGGTGAGAAAATGTTCGGCATTTTAAAAGTGAAAAGGTCATCTTAAATAAAAAGGCTGATATTTGGGTTGTTGGCTTAGTGTGTGTGTGTGTGTGTGTGTGGCTTTTTAAAGTCATTTCCATACTTCAAAGTAAACGTGCATTGCCATTGGAATTTGAAAGATCTTATTAAAAACCTACCACTAAACTCTCGATAAGATAATCTTAAATCCTTGAAAATACATGAATATTCTTAAGGGGAAGTATTTTTACATTTCTACATAATATCAGTTCTTTTTTTTAGGTTTGTGGATCAAACTAAGGGAATGTACCACCTTCTCTTTATCCACTCTGTAGTGTATTGAGGGAACTTCTGATCGTACACTTTGTCACAAAAGGCATATATATGTCTGTGATAGTTTCTGACTTTGATACTCATTACTACAAACCTTTTTTTTTTCTTTTTGAGAGCCAAAATCTCACCCTGTCACCCAGGGTGGGGTTCAGTGGCACGCTCATAGCTCACCCCAGTTTTGACCTCCTGGGCTCAGACTGTCCTTCTACCTCAGCCTTCCAAGTAGCTGGGACCACAGGCATGTGCCACCATACCCAGCTAATTAAAAAAAAACTTTTTTGTAGAGATGAGGTCCCACTATGTTGCCCAAGTTAGTCTCTAGCTTGTCTTACTACCTCAGCCTCCCAAAGTGTGGGCGTTACAGGCATGAGCCACCACACCTGAGGATATTGCTATAAATTTTAAACACTGAACATGACACACATCTGAGACAGGTAGTTTAATATTAATCTGTCTTCTCTCCAAAGGGTTAAAGAAAAAGGGAATAGGCCTGGCATGCTAGTCCTTACACGTACTCGGGAATTAGCTCTTCAAGTGCAAGCTGAATGTTCTAAGTATTCCTATGGCGGTCTTAGAAGTAAGCCCTTTTTTCAACCATTCCTTCATCAGTTCTCCGATCAGCAGTAGCTTTATAATCCTCCCCATCATATCTCACACATCCAGAGACTCTAAATGGCTCAAAAGGGCTATTCTTACCCCTGATCTAACCAACTAAGCTTGGGCAACAGGGTCAAGTAATGGTACAAATGTGGCACTTCAGGAGACAACACTGTGGACTGAAGGGTGTGCAGAGTTCTAGAAAGGCGCAGATGTCACTGAAGGCAGCTGATGACCTTTTTTTATTTTTATGCCTTTTTAAAAATAGACCTAAAATGCTTAGATTGCCTGGCATTTTGAGTTGTGGTAAGATACTCTTTTTCCTAACCATGAACCTGGATTTTTTTTGAAGTGTTTGTGTATATGGTGGTAGAGATAGAGACAAACAAATCAAAGATCTAAGAAAAGGTGTAGATATTATTATTGTAACTCCTGGAAGATTGAACAATCTGCAAATGAATCACTATGTCAACCTGAAGAGCATAACCTACTTGGTAATCATGACTTGGGATGCTGTGATCAATATTGTCTTTTAATAATAATAGTTTAAGAATTGTCTCATTTTATAATGGTTTTAGAGTCTAGGAATATTTCTCATTCCTTTAGCATGTTAAAAGAAAGATATTTAAGATAGCTTTTTTTGTTGTTTTGAGTCTGGGTCTCACTTTGTACCCAGGATGGAGTGCAGTGGCATAATCATGGCTCACCACAACCTCAATCTTCTGGGCTTAGGCCATCCTCCCACGTGAGCCTCCTGAGTAGCTGGGGCTATAGGCATATGCCACCACACCCAGCTAATTTCTTGATTTTTTTTTTTTTTTTTTGTAGAGATGAGGTCTCAATATGTCACCCAGGCTGGTCTTGAACTCCTGGGCTCAAGCAAACCTCCCACCTCTGCCTCCCCAAAGTGCTGGGGTTACAGGTATGAACCACAGCTCCCAGCCAGTTCTATTTTTAAATTATGATACTTGTCTATTTTATAAATTTTGAAACATATAGGTAGAACAAAAGAATTAAAATATACTTGAATATTTTAGACATTTTAATTTTCTTTATAAAATAGATTTAGAAGCATTGGAAAGCCAATTAAAATAATTAAATCTAAGTTGCTTATAACCACAAATGACTTACTTTGACTTGGAGAAATTAAAATAGTGGCTTAGGTAATAGGAGAAATGAGGAAAACCTATCTCTCAATGGTAACCGGTTGTCTTGAGCATACTCTGCCAAGCATTCAGTGTTTCCAACTTATTTTGGAGAATAAATAATGAAGTGAAAGGCCAAGCTAGGCATCTTTTTATTTTTAAGATATGGGGTACAATTCAGGTTTAGATATACAAGTGGTCATCATGCAGATAAAAGTTGGGCCTTCCTTTGGTCCCCACTTGCCTGGTTTGAGATCAGGTACCCTTTTTGATGTTATTTGCCCCACTCCCTACCCCCAGCAGTTTTCAGCTACTGTCAATCCCTTTCTTATAATTTTACGGTAAAGGTTCAGGGTCTACTTATGAGTGAGAACATGTGGTACTCAGTTCATTGTTTCTGTGATAAATCACTGAATATTATAGACTCTAAATCCATTCAGGTTGCTGCGAAGTCCATAATTTGTTCTTCTTTCTGACTGTGTAATATTTCATCTTGTATATATACCACATTTTTTTATCTAGCCCAGTTTTGAGAGGCAGAACAGTTGGTTCCATGTTTTTGCTATTGTAAATAGTGCTGCCAAGCTATACATCTTTAGGAGAAACAAGTAATTTTGATAGCAGTTTATTAAAACATTAGCTAATGGTAGAAAAAAAGATGAATTTTGAGCTTATGTATGGAGTCTCTCCCTCCCTGTTAAGATGCTGTGCTCTTTGAATCCCTATTAGGCTGTAAGTTTAGTGAAGCAAAATATAATCGTCACCACAGAGGGAGAAAAACAAACTCATATCCAAACTTATCTAGAAAGTATTTTACCTGGAGACAAAATTATTGCCTTTGTTGCTGAAAGACCTTGTAGGTATTTTTTCTTGTATGTCCATTATAATTAATCATTGATTTGTGTATGATTAGTTCTAATTGCATGCTAATTTCAAGTGGGAGTGATTTGTCTGTTATGTTATTTCAGACATTTGCTAGTGAGTAAAACTAGTGAAACTAGTAAAAACTAGTAAATGATGGTGGTATAGGAGTCCTGACTTGATGAGGACTAGTGAAACTAGTGAGTAAAACTAGTGAGTTGATGGTGGTATAGGAGTCCTGACTTGATTTTCTGCTTCAGTGTGGACCACTTATCAAGTGACCTGATTCTTGGAACTATAGCAGTAGAATCTCTGCATGGTGATAGAGAACAGAGAGATCAGAAGAGAACATTAGAGAAATTCAAAACAAGTACTTTTATGTCATTGTTTGAATTGCAATTTATTTATTATTATAATTATTTTTAGTTGGTGACGGCTAGGTTTGTTTACTGCAAGACTATCTTTTTTTTGGAAATTAGTATTAGCTGGTGGAGAAATTAGTTTTACATTTTTAATCAATCATACATTGTAATTTCACTCTGTAACTTTGGGGAAGAAGGTTTGTTATTGTTTCTTTTACTTTTTCTTTTTTTCCCCCCAAAAGAGTCCAATTTGTCCAATTGGTTATTCTCAACATTGCCACTTGTACCTACCTTTGTATTTCTGCTGACCCAGGCCTGTAGCCTTGTCCACACTGGCACTGTTTACACTGGCAGAATGTTGATGGGGAGGTAGGAACCCACAATTCCCATGACCCTCTCATCACTTTTCAGAGCCATAAAAACTACATGAAATATATTTTATTGAGAGTTTGGGGAGTTACTGAAAGGAATTATACAAGTTGGAAAGTAAGAATATGTGTCCTTTTAAATGTATGAGATTTACAAAAGCTTTTGTGCTGAATAATTTACTTTATACCTTTGTGACACAAGATGTTGAAGCAATTTGTTTGTAGACCTTCTATAATCCTCCTCTTCTGTTTTGGAGGAAGATGAGTTCCTGCATGAGATCAAATAAACTTCACAAAATACTATTATCACACCTAAAAAAGTAATTTTAATTTCTTACTATTGTTACCCATCCAATAAAACCTCAAGTTACTTTAACCAACAAGCAGGCAATTTGGATTTAAAGCTGGAGAAAATTTTTTGTTATACAAAAACTCTTGATATTGGCATAAATGAACAGTGATAGTGAAACATTTTACTCTGACCTACAAAAAATTTTGTTACTTTTTATTATTTTTCTCTATAGATTAGAAGGTGGAAAAATTTATGGAGTAAAATGTAGGTATTTCTTTTTGAGTGTCTTTTTCCATGTGGAGTAGATAAGATGTTCAGGTAGCACGTGTGAGACATGAGATGCCATTTTCAGTAAGAGCTAATGAGAGGAGTAAGCACACATTGGAATTTTCATTCTGCCAATAACCCAGTCAGTGAATATTTCATCTTAAATAATAAGAGGAAAAGCATACCCCACATTCTCTCAATTTCATGTTAGATTGTTTTCTGGCATTAGGAAGTAAATAAAGGCTTTCTTTTTTCTTAAGCACAACACAGTATGTCTTGGAAATACTGTCCGTTGAGAGTGTTGAAACATTGAGTGAATTACTTGGATTGGTCACCTGGAAGAAACCTAAAAAATCTGGCAGCCATTCAAAAATTGGAGACTGAATGAATTAAGGGTAAAATTATCTGTCTTGCAACATTCTGTCCAAAAGACTGCCTTCTTTTGTTGTGGTCTTGGAGGCTGAACTCTCTTGTTTCAGACAAGAGACAAGCTATGAAAACTCTGACTAATATCCCATAAAATCTATCAAACAAAGTCAAGGAACCTGCTTCCTCTCATCCAGACACAGGTAGCAGGGCAGTTTGCCCAGGCACATCGAGTGCCGTTCAAAGCAAGGTTGTCCGCCCCTCCAACTCTGTTCTCCTCTCTCCTCATGGCACATTCAACTGTCTGAACTTCTGACACAGACTTAGCAGAGATACTGTTGTTGCTGAAGAGTAATGGCTTGTTCTGTTATCCTGGAATGCCCTTGCACTGTGAAAATTAGAAGCTGGGGGACTCAATGAATTTTCCCATCCTGTGTATTTCTCACTAGCTCTTCTTGGCTTTTATTTCTTCCTACCATTTTACAGGGACAGAATCTTCCTATTTTCAGGCTACCAGATGGTGTGTGGAATCTGTTGGGTGCATTTAATGCATAGGAAAGAGAGCCTTAGAGAACAGGTAGCAGAAATAAAAATTAAGCATTTTAATTTTTTTGATTCCTTGGAAAATGAGATATTCCATGCAACTGTGCTTGTCTAGACCAACTGAAACTCTGCCTTAAATGTCAAAACTTGCTTCTAACTTTGAGAAGTATTATAGCAGAGTGATCCATGAAGCATACAGACTTTGAGGCAGATTGTATTTAAATACTGACTTTATCACTTTTTAGCTTTGTAATGCTGGGAACTTTACTTAGCTTCTCGTGCCTCAGTTTCCCCTTCTGTAAAGTGGAGATAATAATAGATCCTAACTTATAAGGATATTGTGAGTATTAAATAGGATTAAATGAATTAGTACATATAAAGCATTTAAAACAATGTTAAATACATAGTGTCATAGAAGGGTTACTATGATTATTAATTCAACCATTTGTATACACATCTTACTATAAAATGGTACCCACCTTCTTGTTTTCTTTATGGAGCATATTGGACATTGAATACTCATACACAGAAAAATAATATAGTTATGCTTTCAGGGAGAGCTATAATCATGTTGATGAAACATGGCAAATGTCATTTAATGAGTAGGTTTCGTGAATGTTATTGATTAATCCTAGCAATAAGCCTCTAAGATATGTATGCTTATAAACAGGTTTAGAAGATGGAAGTAGTTTCCCAACTTCACACAACTAGGAGTCGATCTGAGATGCAAACTCAGGTCCATGTGACTTTGAAGCTGGTGCTCTCAGTCACCTCACCACACTGCCTCATGGTTGGGACTCCTTGTCCCTGTTCCAGGTGTTCTCACACTTGAGTGTACATCAGCATCGCCTGGAGGGCTTGTTAGAACACAGGTTTCTGGCCTCCACTTCAAAGGTTCAGATTCAGTAGTTTTGGGGCTGGAGGTGAAGAATTTGCATTCCAAGTTGCTGGTGCTACTTTCTCAGGAATCCTACTTTGAAAACCGATATTTCACACTAAGTGACTCCAGACTGTTTTTAATTATCATATTTTTTATTGTCTCTTTACTGTCAGTTGATGCTGGAAGCTATCAGTGTGTTCTTTTGCTTTTCAACACTGGGACACACATATCCAGCCATTTCAAACTCCTGTGGTATTGAGTCTGTGGGTTTTATGGTAACGATTGCTGTTTGGAGGTTCCTTTCACCCACAGCTCAGTTCCCTGGTGCATTTGGCTCTTTGATTCTATTGGGAGATTCAGTTATTTTCCTGACTGTTGCTTCTTTTAATTTTAATGTAGGAAAAGTATGAGTAACTAAGACTAATACATTTTAAATCTCTATCATGCACCAT